TATGCTTCATTTAATAAGCTAATAAAAATTTTTTAACCAAAATGTAGATTTCCCCCCTTTCTACTGAACAGCGCCCATATATAAATTTTAGAAGGTTTATAATCTACAACATTCTTTCTAACATATTTTAGAACAGTTCATCGGAATATCTGCCAAGGTAATATTGTTGTTGATTTCACCATTATATTTGTCTAGCTGATGAATTTAAAGAAATTTTTTTATACAGCGATTATAAAGATGAATGCACTGTAAATTTAGAATCATTTATAGAATTTTACACAACAATGGACCGATCTCAAAAATGGCGTTTGCTATCTGGTGTTGATGCAGAGTAGGGATGAGTTCGACTACGAACGGCTACAATCATTCATAGCCAATTTGTTAAATACTGAAATGATTTTTTGTTCTTGAGCTTTTAATTAAAGTTGTTTAGAATTAAATTCTGGTCATCTCATATTATAAGTAGAAAGAACAATACCTTCTCTGGAACTCGGAATTTTAAGATTTGTTAATGTCATAGCTAGTTAAGGACTTCGGAATTGAAAGGAAAACGTGCCCGGTGGATTATGAGGCTGCAATCTTATAATTTTACTATTATCTACCATCCAGGCCGAATACATACTAATGCAGATGCCCTTTCTCGAATTCTTAGAGAAGATAAAGAAATGGTGTATATAATGGACCGGTATAAAGAAATGGAACCAGATGAGGAAGTTTTGCAAAACATCATCAGGACTTTAAGTCCTAATCCACTACCAGCCACATTGTATGGGATATACTCCTATTAGCAAATCGAGTTCACCTTTAATGGAATTAGGTTTGAGAGACAAATATGTACCTGGTATTACATTGAGCACATTAGTGCTCAATTAAGCCAGAAAAATAGTAGTAAGTATTGGCCACGGGACTGGAGAGATCCTACGGCCCAGTGCTGGTGTGATGACAAACTTTATTCTCCCTCAGATGATTGCATTAAGTGCAAATGTGATCTACGGCTATGGACAACCATTAAAAGTTGTCCACCTGATAAAATCATCAAGTACTATTGGTCTACACCGAACTATAAGGAAGAAACAGCTTACATGTGGGATATATTATCTGAAACGGGAATCGTAATACCAATCCACACTCCATATGTGAAATTAAATAATAATAGAATCTTGGAAAATCATCTGGCTAGGCTTCTGCCCATACCAAACTATCTACCTCAAGCCCATAACCGGCTATAACGGCATCCGTATGAGGGACCCTTGCAAGTCCAACCATGGTGGATGCATCCATTAAATACCCCAACTACCTGCCAATTAAACGAACATAACAACTTAAAGGACACATATTTGTGTAATTCGGTTTGGTGGAAGGTACCAAACCCGATGGTGTGCCTTTAGTTTTGTTCTATAGAACCTTTCCGTCCCCAAATGACGCAAAACTTTGCAAGTTAGTCACTGCAACCATACAGCAATAACCTAAGAACTACCTCTAAACTGAACTAAATCTACTCTTCCTACTTAACTAATTAAATCAAATATCCTATAAATTAATTATCTAATATTTTTTTTTATTATTACTATTTTCTTATTATTTTTTTTTTATCATTATTTTTTATTATTATTATTTTTTTGCCCTTTTAATTATTATTATTATGGATACAGCGAAATATAACCAAATAAAAGCCTTCTTGGAAACGGCTAATTACCCACGGAACTTCACTCAGTGACAAAAACAACGATTGGAAGTACAAAGTAAATTCTATGTAATTTACAACTATCTACTCTACAAGAGGGATTGCTATAAGCAGACTAGGAATCAATTATTGTGGGTAATGCTACCGACAGAAGTCGATTCCGTCCTTTATCTAATGCACAATCATCCCTTGGGAGCTCACCTAGGGATTGAAAAGATGTTCGAGAAAATCAGAAACCAATATTACTGGTCTCAGATATATGAGCATATTAGAAAATACATTCAGACATGCGAGGCATGCCAAAAACACAGCAAAAATCGAATTCGAGTTCCCTTTCATAAGATAGGGATCGATTTCGTTGGGCCTTTAGACCTAACAACTAGTGGAAATAAATATATTATAGTCACTGTTGACTATATGACAAAGTGGCCGGAAGCTAAAGCCACCTCAGATACAATGGCCTACCAAGTTGCTAACTTTATATATCAAGAAATAATTAGTCAACATGGATGTCCGGCCGAAATAGTCTCAGATAGAGGTCTCTATTTCAATAATAATATGATCCGGTATTTGACACAACAAATAGGGATAAAACATTTATTATCCACCCCATACTATCTACAAACTAACGGTTTGGTAGAAAAATACAATCGCACTTTGTGCGAAGCGTTGGCCAAATTGGTAACTCAAGATAAAGAATGAGATACCTTAATACCATCAGTCTTATTTGCATACAGAGTCGCCAAACAATTCATCACAAGATTCACCCTGTTCTACCTCACATATGGACAGGAAGCAAGATATCCCAATATCGCTCCAAATCAGGAGATAACCGAAAATCTGGCAGATCGATTAATAACAATCGTAGAAGATCTACCGGTTAAACGATCTATGGCTGTGAAAAATGTCAATAGATCCCAGAGATGACAGAAGCTTCGTTGGGACCGGAAATTAAAGAAAGTAATAAGAGTTTTTAATAAGGGTGATAAAGTGTTGTTATATGACGCTGCAAAAGCTAACAGTCATTCAGGAAAACTTCTATCTCAATGGTTGGGCCCTTTTATAATTGCTCAAAGAGTTGCGCAAGATGTCTATAAGCTGAAAACAATGGAAGAACGTCCTTTGGATGCCCTCATAATGCCCTCTTGTTGAAAAAGTATTATGAGAAACTATGAACGTTAACAATGGAGTGTATGTATTATGATCGACCTAACGAATTATAATGGGTGTTCATTGATGATGTCAATGGAACATTTATGGTTGGTAAATGTTACCATGGCCAACCATTTAAGGAAGTCACAGAAAGGAAAGCAAAAAGTGGACCGAATTCAAAATCTCTGTGAACCCTGCCGCTCATTCGCAGGAGCTCATGATTAAAGGGAGGAGTAAATGTTACTTGGAAATTATCTCCCGATATCCCTAGGACCGTTTCATGTACTACTACAGGATTTTCAGGGATATTATACCCCTGTTATTTAACGAGTGTGATACACTTATCAACAACTCGAAGAAGAACTTGATTAGTGTCACAGGCTAATACACAACATGGATCGTATTGAACTACCAAACCATTGATCTTTAAGAATCAAAGGGCGATCACCTTACTAACGCTCGTATTGCCTCCTTATTTGTATTATTATATACAAGGCCCTATTTTTCCTAATTGTTAAACTATACACATCACTTTTAGTTACCATATTGGTCCCGATATTGGTGATGTGTAGCATAGGGACAACACATGCCGCGACATCAATGATAGTCTCTAAAAGGGTCTATTAGCTATGGCACTAGCTCTTAAGACCCGGTCTTTGACCGGGTTCGAGTTTCTAATTTTTTGTTAATTCTTAGGCCTTAACATTACTAACTTTTAGGCCTCAATATTACAATATTAGCTCTT